CCCCAACACTTTTTTGCATAAGATGCACATGTTTTCTATTTATCAAAGATTTGTGAACTTGCAAAAAAATGAAATTAAAAGACCACATTTATCATAAGGAAGCCAACGTTGAGATGAATAAAATAACCGAATGATTTAAAAAAATAACTAAAAGTACGATATCGGAGAACTATTTCTATTCTATCGTCAATACTTAGTTCAATTGACATATCTCCAATATTACAGAGATAAAAAATGGTAGTGATACAAAATTATAATTAATTCAATACAGTTCTACTATCTTCTCCTAAAATAGCAATGCCAGTTGAAGGAACTTTAGAGAATTGAAATCTAAACGTAAATTCGTTGGCTAGTAAAGTTATAATATTGCAAATATTTGATGACATTTAATTATAATTTTCCTAGAATATGACTGAAAAGAAACTTAGCAAATAAAACGAAACCTTTGAACATTGTCCTTTAAGGAACCGACGTCAAATAAACACTCTTGCTTAGATCACAAAATAAGATCTATGGTGTACTTCAAGCCAAAAACAGCCTGGAATTTTTCTCAAAGTTGTTTAGAAGTCAAAATTATTTAGTGCTTATGATAAAAAGTTGGCGATAGAAAGGGCCTCTGATCTCAAAGGCGATAAATTTAATTAAGCCGACAGTACCATTCTGAAAAGCAAAATTAAGAGCAATGCATTGCTTTTAAGGAATTATATGGCCATACCTGAAGAAAGCAAAGGGACTTAAAACAAATATACAATAAATGCGTTTCAATTCGAAATGAGTAATAAAGAAGAGGTAATCGCAAGCAGCACTCATCTATTTCTCTACTTTCCCAACCATATAAATTGGCAGTAAAACCATGCAGCCGACTGTTAGCCAGTGGTAATGTTAATATAGTAAATACTCGTAACTTTTTTTCAACTATCACTAATGAATTTTCAGATCGTTTCAGAACAAGCATGTATACAGCTTTAATTGCCGAAACGAATAGTTCTAAGTAAACAACATTCCCTTAGATTTAAAATCCAGATCTTTATTTTCATGATCAAAGGTCATTTATTCAATGTCATCTCACCAGGCCGGTATCATGAGAGGTGGGATAAGCCAGATCAATTTCCTGTCCAAAACCGACGGCAGACTTAGTTGAAAAGCTCCGTCTAAGTTGGGCTGCTCTAGAAGAATCAATAGGCGTCGAATTCGAAGTTGATTGGGTGGTATCCTTGAAGAGAGACTTCAGTCCAGTAGAGAGGGTATTGGTTGTAGATTTGAGTTGAGCCGAAATTGTGTCAGTGAGAGACTTAGGTGTTGATTGAGGTCCTGGAACTAAAAGTAAACAAAATCGTTCTAGTAATAAGTCTTTCGTGAAAATATGAAGATAGCTTAACTTGATATCGAAGTTTGCACGGACCTACGGTAATTTATATTGAATAATCGTTTCCTCTTTTACCAGAGTTTTAGCCATTATCCCTAACATTAAACTCCTGTTTGCTGACTACTATATTGCTAATTTGAAAAAAATTCTGTATACCTATTAGATTGCTAACATCTTCATACATTTCTCTCCTGTAATCAATATTCTGTAGCAATATTAATTTCTTTTCTAACTGGAATTACTGAAGATCGTGAAGGCTTGAAGCGGTAATCGCCTAACAAATTGAATTTTAGGAGTTGTCATTATCAATTCATGTTTAATCAACCCATCTCACTCCATTAGATGTTGAGTCAACCATTCTAGGGTCAATAAACCTGGCACTACCCTCTATGATTTAATCTAGCTAGATAAGTTTAAATAATCGATTTGTCGACGGATTATCACCTAGTTTATAAAATAATGGCTTCAATTTGGTTCAATGAAAATATGTTCACACAGGACAAATAGGTTGCTTCATATTTTGTTTTATATCCCAAATATCATATAAAAATTACCCCGTATAATTGCTTTCAACTCCTTTACTCTTTCAAGACTTTATCAATCTCAATACTTCTCATTATTGGCTCATAGGAAACATTTGGCCTTTGATCTGATCTTGATCTTCTAATGGGTGAAAAGGTTGTTTGTATGTAGTTTATGGAACTTGCATTAGAAGGAGTATTCATATTTATAGAGAAGAGTAGCATCCACCCAGTTTCTATCCAGTTAAGTAAATTTGAGTTAACTTTAATTTGTGCCTCTTGTTACAGAATTTCTGACAATTTGACTGAACCAGCAATAGCCAAAGTAGTAGGACTTGTGTCAGCTTTTGATAAGATTTATGAGGCGGTGAAAATTGTATTAGATTAATTTAATTGTGCACGCGAAGCCGTCCGATTCCTATCGACGTGCCTGAATGTTCCAGTCTATAAACAGTCAAAATATTGTACCAATTATCTCTACAATTTTACGTGTCAGAATCATTTAATTATAATGAATTTCAACTTTGTTCGCTGAAATAAATGCCAACTCAGAAATCAAAATTCATTCAAATAATCGGTAAAATTTGAAACGCATATTCGGATTCTGAAGGAATCACTTGGGCCTTGGAAATTTGCTAATTTGTCACTTTTCCTAATTCACTATAAGAGATAAGGTTAAAAAGAACCCAAATGTGTGCCCATAAAAGAGAGCGAATCTTCGAAGCGTTTGGCTAGGTTGGTGGATATTCGAGCTCCGAAATTATAGGACAAGCTATTTAAAGAAATAAAAGGGCCAAGTCGAATGAATATGTAAGAAAGCGCTTTATGCCTAAGCTTCGGAGGTTTGCATTTTTTACAGGTAAATTAAAAGTTCATCTGGAGAGAAGAGTTTGCGAATCAGTCCTATAGCTCATTTTTAGCTCAACTATTTTCAGCGGCAACCAGTATTGACAATAAATCCGCACTCTTGTTCCCATTTATTTACTGTTACTATAAATGTGTGTTCCATGATAGGGAAGCAGAATAACTAAGTAAACGTGAATGACAGTGACAAACTTCCCCATCATCATTGTTAATTCATTCAAATAAATAAATCTATTCTTATTATTCTACACTAAAGAACTGCCAATCAAAATTACTAAATATTTCTTAACAGAGCTTAATCTCCAGTCTTTACCAAGTGCAGGAGTGTAGACATTTAGAAACTAACTTTTATACAAACCCCACTTCAACTTACTGCTCAAACACTGTATTTCCATCGATACCGGAAATCATTTAAAATGGCCTTTCAAAAAAGTCACAACCTATCAATCCTTATCGTCGCTTTCAGTGGGAAATAAAATTTCAGACACAATCAGAATTGGCATTTATTAGCTTTATGCGTTAGAGAATGGAGTGTACTTATCTGATTTCGAGCAAATTTTATGTTTCACTTGCAACCTATGGGAAGTGCATTACCATAGGTCTGAAAGAGAACATTCTCAGGAAACACAGTTGATTTATTGCAAATAATAAGTAAAATTAGGAACTGTGGAAAACCACCCAGATCAGATCAATAATTTTACTTTTAAGCTGGGAGAAATAATATATCCATGAAGCAATGAATGGAGTAAACTTTCAGACTGGCGTGAAAATGCAATTTAAAAGTCACCATGGCGACGGAATTGCAGCAAACGTGTGAAAGGCGAAAGCGTTGCTGTTCTCATTTTATAATACCAAAATTAACTCACTCTAGGTAAGCATAGTAAAGAGAAATGTGCCATAATAGTGAGCAAATCACGTCCAATTATTAAAATTTAGAATGAATTCGACCGATGCGAGTCAAATTCAATCCTAAGTAGTTAAATTTGGATATTCTAAAAGATAACGGTATCTTGTTGGTTTTACCGACAGTTAACTTTGGTCAATAAAAGGTTAGGATATTTTGAAGTTACACGCCTTTCACACTCACAAACCTAGAGATTAGGCACAGAATTTGATTGAGAAGGGCTGGATTCAACTCAAATGAACCAAGGCGCATACAACCTTCTGATTTTATCTTATTTTACTAATTCAAGCTGACCTATCTACCAATGGTTTGGCATTTTTTCACATTAGTTGAGTCATTTTAAATGAGCAAATTTAATAGTTGTTTACATAACTATGAAGAAGCTGATGTGAGTTTGTGGGACACGTTATCGTTGTGTGCGTCATCGTATGCCTGCATGTCTGCTCGCCAGGATTGGGAG